GTCCATTGGTCTTCGTCGCTCATCGGAAAATGGTGAGATAGCTCACTCACTCACACACACACACACACACACGCAGGACGGTGTAGAACGGCTAAACTAAACAACTAACATGTCCCACTGCTTTGGACCCTACCCTGAGTTTCGATAGCCGGACATTGCAACAGTCAAATTGGCCACATGAACACACCCCGCACACACAAACACGCTGCTATGGTATGGATGAGATTCAGTGAAACACAGTGGACAGTGGACACAAGGTTGTAAGAACTGAAATGACCAATCAGAAAGCAGGCCGTAAGCGGATCCTAATCTGATTGGCCCAGAACCAGTCGGGCTGAATGAGAGCCTTATTAAGGGGTTAATAACCTCCAAATGGCACACGAACGCTCTGTGACCACCGATGGCAATGCCTGCTAATCTGACTACCGATTGCACAACAACCTATCCGATGCGTAACTTATCCGGTCCGGCAACTTTGCCACTACTAAGTCCACCGATGGCTCTGGCCGAATTGGATCCAGCAGCGGCGCGACAAGTTGCCAAAGTAATCAAATCCCATTCAACTCCGTATCCAGATTGTCCGGGACAACGAACCGCCGGTTTAAGACGCCCCAAGTGTGCTCGATGCCGTAATCATGGTCTGATAGCTTGGGTCAAAGGACACAAACGTCATTGTGCCTATCGGGATTGCACTTGTGCCCAGTGTATTCTCATTGTCGAACGTCAACGAGTGATGGCAGCTCAGGTGGCCTTGAAGAGACGTCAAGCGGTCGAAGAGGTACTCGCGTTAGACTGGCAGCGGATGACCAGTGACCTACCAGAAAACATATACACACAAACGAGCATGGCGTTGAATTCCAACCGATTTGTGAATTATCCCGCAACACAGGAAACGAGTACAGAACGGTCAGAAATTTCTGCTACAGGTGAGTGACTCGTTCAATGTTTGTCTGTTTGCGTCTAGGACATGCTTGAGTGATGAACGCACCGAGCAAATCCCCCGAATCAGAGCACAGCGAATTCTCATTGTCGTCTTTTTCCTATCTTTTAACCGATAAGAGCATTAGAGTTCTGCAGTGGTTGTTGAAGGAAGTCACCGGCAGTGCGTATCAATCTTCTATTTCGTCAGGGACTCTAACCGATAACATTCCAATTAATAATGAAACAATTACCGTTAATTTTAACGAAGTGATCAAATCCGATTTCTCGATTTTCACAAGTAAAGTAAAGATTTCACAATACAAACATCAATTCAATCACGTGGTTTTTCAATCAGTCATGCGGATTGAGATGTTTATTAAGGTAAGCAAAACTACCTGGAATGTTTCGTAATCAGCATCAACACTTGAACTGACCCGCTATCAATGACTGTTTCTGCAACTTTGGTAAAACCTTCAGAAAAGAACATATTAGAGTAAGCAATCACCCATGAGCACTTCATCTGCATCATTGAAATGTTGCATCAAGCCACATCTACGAAAGGACATTTTCAAGACCCTCACCTTGTTGGAGTTTATTGCAAACGGAATGTGAGGAACGTGTAAACACAGATGGTTGTTAGCTTGTCTGTGTAGAGTGATTGGGGCTAGCTGACGCATGCAATGGACAGATGTCACGGATAGCACGATTAATGTTCATTCGAGAACTGCGGGTGTTGAATTGAATACCTCAAAATAAATACTCGTATTTTTATTTCTGAAGCCCTGCATTACTGGTACATGTGAAGTTACTTCGGTTTATCACAACAGCTTAATTTGTGATGAGAGCTCGAATCATGCCGCAGCTCACTCACATCGGATGTCACGTGACTGGTCGGCCTCGCTATCGACCTTACACCAGTATTGACAGACCTAAGGATTATTGATCTGTTGACTTTGCAAATCCTGTTGACGCGATTACAGTCAGCCCGTTGCACTTCCTTGACTTGTTTTGTTGTGTTGTTCACAAATCCAGGGGCCTGTCAAGTTTCCGATTAGTATTTCAAACTCGAACCTCGGTGCGGGGATGGAATAGCTGTATACTGTGCTTCCAAGGTTTGCTGCCCTGACCGATGACTGCATGACGAACAAACATTCCCAAGGACACTGAAAATTAGCTCAGCTCATTTTTGGGATGTACTTTAATCTGCCTATTGGAAGCAGTATAGCGCTTTCATATTGATACGTAAAGTCGCCAGTTCATGTCTGTCAAACATTTGGATTTTTTATCCCTATACACAATGTCACAGCTTGATATCCGACAACCGTAAGTCGATTCTGGAAAAGTACCTTTTGAACATTTTCGTTTGCATCCATTCAAACATTAGTGGCTAATGAGGAATACACTTGAGGAAAGGTTTAACTCCAACCGAAAATCACCGTTTGGTTCCTATCTTAACCTTTTAGATAAAAGACACTATGGAGAACCCCTGTCCAATACAAAAACGGAACCTCATTTATCATTGGACGAAGTCAAAGACAACAGGGTTACCCAACCGAATGCAGCCAGTAGTCCGATTCTACCACAGGACAGCTTAACCGGAAGCAGTCTTTCCCCTGTCCGACTGGAAGAAACCGAACAGTTGGGTAGCGCATGTTCCCTACCCAATGTGTGCTCACCTTCAGTGGCACAGTCACGTCCGTGTATCCCATCGAACTCTCTGCTGACTGGACTGGACGCCACTCAGAGTCAGGCGTTGTTGCTCTCCGCACTGTTTCGACAACTACCCAAACCACCACATTTTCCATGTGCTAATCCATTGATCCACGGACCTTTACCAATGGAACTATCGTACAAGATTCCGCCAGTCCCAACAACCAATCTGGTGCCGTATCCTGTTCATCCAAACCAAATAATTCTCACCGCGTGTGATGTTACTGGCATGAGACAAAAATATCCGTCGATGTCTTCGTGTGAACCTCACACCCAGTCCAACGCAGTCAACTGGGCTTCATTTTTTGGTTACAATACGAATCCGTCGTTTCCGGGACAAATGTGAGAATACATTTTGGGAAACTGCACCCTCCCCCTCCCGAGTGTATGGCCCATGTAAACACCTACTTCATAAGAACTAACTCTGTACCATTCCCGATAGATCAAAGCCCATCGCACGTGTAACTCATTCGTGCCATTTCGTATAGATACAATTATTTCTTTCTGTATATTATTAAGCGAATAAAATTTAATCCATCTCTCATTGTGATGGTTTTCTTCATGGGCACAGAAAAATGAGTTATAAAATCGTGAAATTTTTGTAATATAAGTGATTTGTCATGATAGGTATACCATGAAGATGAATTTATCCGGTAACGACGATTAGTTGTATGGGCGGTGCGGTAGGGGGGGGAGGGGAGATAAAGGTTTGGAACGAGGAGCAGATACCAAATTGCGTATGAAATGTATCCAGTGGTATTGCAAAGTACAGTTCTGATTATTAAGGTTAGAATGTCTTGCTGAAGATTAGCCCACTTCATTGTTCACTGACTCTGATAATGGTCTTGGATTTTATGAGTAGCTAGTTGCCCGGTGATGATCAAGTGAGTTGAATGCCTGCGTTCTAACTGTAAGCTTTCGTGTTGTTGATCTTCATTGTGGTTCAAAGATCTTCATTGCTGACGAGACACATCTAGCCAGGNNCAGCTATACGCTGAATGCCACTATCGCAGTTCATCACACACGATGAAACGCATCACAAGTACACCAATGATTGATTGCTTATGCGGACCACACTGCATATCGAACACACTCGTCCAGCCGCTCCTATTGATCTTCCTATCACTTGATCATGACAAACACTGTCAGTGAACCATCCCGACCTAATTTTTGGTGCATCAATGGATGTATTCTCACAAAAACACTCGTTCACCTGTTTCCGATTATCTATGTTGAGTTACGGGTCTCTAGAATTTGCATTGTGATTTGAGGGTGGGATAAACCAAACACTATCGATCTCTTGCGTCGTATTTGGCGGGCTAATTTCTGGCTCCACAAAAGTGAAACAATACCGGTCTGATTGATTGAAACCAAAACATGACACTGTTTGTTTGCCTTTTGCACCGTCGGTCTATCATCGCAAAAAAGCGGAAGTGTTCCATAACACAAGTTTTATCCCCAAGTGTATGATGCTAACTTGGTATGTCATGCAGGACAATAAAAATGAGCCGAGGACTCGTAAATGTTTCTTCTTCCTATACAATGGTCTCTCATCCGGAGTTTACGCCCGAAGAACAGTCACTCTGTCCGAGTAAACATTGGCCCAGTCCCATTTCGTTTCCCGTTGAAATTTCTCTTGCATTAGTACATGCTCATCGGGTCCTACATCCGCCCACCGCACTGTTCCGTGCCATAGACTGTCAGCGGGTCTACTGTTTGTGCTAGTTAACTACAGAAAATTACCCCTGGGTATACCTGTGTGAACATTAGAGATGTTGGATTTAGCGTTTGGTATCTGCGAGTCACTCGATCACGACGTCGATCCGGTGTCTGATGGAATGTTTTTGTTTATCGTGGATTTCCAGGACTCTCGTTTATGTGGTGCATGCTTACTTGTATGAGGACACGATCGCCGTATCCAGTGGTAGCTGTTGCCAATGCACTATTAAGGTTCAAGTTCGTGGGTAATAAGTTTTCTTGGTTCCCAGAATTATACTCATAACCACTTTCACATCGCGCCAGTTGGACTCATAAGCATCTATGAGTAATCCTGTTACAACGGTCACTGGGGAACAAATTTCTATCATTCGGTGATTAAAGTGAATAGTAATAATTTGGGCAAAAATGACCCAACCAGGTCGAAACAGCTGATCAGTACTTCCCACCTTTTCAGTTCACATTTCATTTGCTATATACACGATAAATTTCTTTATGAAAAATGAAAGTTTCTGTGAAGAAAATAGTGAATGGGTCGAATCGGTTTCAACAGAATATGTGCAACAGATGTCGGTATAAAAAACCGGTTGGGAGTAATAAACTTCACTTGTCAAGATGGTGCCGATTTGTTGTTTTCAGGGCCTGGCAACTACGACAACGGAGAGGAAGTAACCGGGTAGGAAAAGGTTCCGGTGAGGTGTATGGAAGTCAAGTCATAGAATCATACTTCCAGTTAGTGAAACATACGAAAACCGCATAAATTATTAGGGATTTATTCATTCAGGAGAAACCAAAGCGATACACAATTGATAGTGAATTTCAGCCTAAATCTGATCCGCGAGTAGACGGATGCGAACACCTAACGTTCCTCCTGAATTCGCCCAATTTTGTTCACCCCTCGTCAAGAGCAATGGACTAAGCTCATCGGTTAGAATGATGTTCAATCCACTGGATCGTTGTCTGGTTTGAGATTAGTTCGAGGTATTTTCATGTATTAAATGGGGGTCCATTACGGATTTTACCTTATCAACTATTCACGCTTGTTCGACGGCATGTACGTGCTCAAGACACGCGGTTCCCATGATCGTAGAAAAGGCGGGAGGCCGAACAAAGCCGATCCGGATTGAGGTCTATTCTCAAATGGGTTGGATCAAGTGCGACTGTGTACATTGCATAGTGTTCAGTGATTGCATAATCCTAAATACTTATATGAGTTTCTGTGACTGCGACACTATGCCCGTGATATACAGTAAGTTCTTAAAGACAGGCAAGATTGGTAATACTAGGCTGAAGCACAGGTTAATTGGACAGTCTAGATTGGAATTAACAACTTTGTCAACGTGCATTGATCGCGTCAGTCTTCTGAAGCAATATGTATCAAGATTGCATTATTTATAAAGGACAACAAACATGGATTTGTACAGATCAATTGCCCCCCCCCCCTCAATGAACTGGAATTCAAGTGACTTTAGTGAAGACTTTGAAGAGAAATCGGGGCTTGTCCGTTCAATAAAACTCAATCAGTGGGATACCTACATGCGGAGGGGAGGGTGTGTGTGTGTGTGCGTGGTGTACACGACAGTGCTTGTGAGGGTATTTTGCAAGTTGATTGGTGAATGAGCTACACTTTTCATGTAAGTAAATCTACCCAGCAAAACTTTTATGACTGAGGAATAATGTGGGCTAATTTTATCATGTCGGACGACATTGATTGTTCGTGTATGAAAGTAAAATAGACCTCTTAAAGTATGGAATGTGGAGTAGCACCCGTTTAATGTTGCTGGCTAATTCTCATTATCCCACCGTGATCCAAACGTGCAGAGTGTATGGTTCGATTTTGTGTGTATGAGGGCGATTGCGTACCAAAGTCTGAAACCGATGCAGATCGTGTTAAATAGGCGCTTGGTATACATAATGAATACGGTTGAAGTGATTCCTGTTGCGCACTAATGCAGCTCTGTATCTTAGCTCATCGTTTGGATTGCTTACCTATGATACAAACAACCTAACGCAATTGAATGAGCAATATACGCACAAATTTACCGCCCATTCCCGGATGTGATTATGAACCAACGTATTATATGGTGAATATCGTCGTGTACGGAGCTAACGAAGTGTAATCTGCTTCTCATCAACGGTGTGCGAATCCGTTGATCCACCCGCGGATATCACGGAACAGTAATTCAAACGGGTGATTTCAGTGATCATGAACAGATTTACAATCGGGTTCTGTGGGAGCGAAGGGCTTGTTTTCCCCGGGAAGGCTTACGTTGGTCCTGTGTGCAGGCAGCTGTTTTCACAGCGTGATCTGGTCTTCGCTCACTGTTTACCAATCACATCTAAAAACCGTCTGTTCAACCGCAATGTATACGACAATGGACAACTGGATGGTTTCCACACAAAATCGGTTCAGAAGTGCGTTAGGCTTGCTAGATCAACTTCATTTTTTGCCGAGTCTCGTCCACGACTGGAAAAAGCAGCCAGCTGAATGGAATTCTGTTCACAAAAGGAACAAACCTTTACTCTCATGAATAACAATACTAAAAACAGAAATAATGCTATTGCCTAGGATAGACTTTTCATATCCGTTCTAATCAATTACATGACCTGTGCGAAATAAATATGATCTGTTTCGGAATGATGCCTGCAGCACAAATTCAATGGAAAAACTGATTCTAAGTTAATCACTTGTTGACTGGG